GGAGTAATCAATGGATTCACACAAGTATTCAACGGCACAGAAGTGGACACATATTTGGGTATTCCATACGCGGAGCCACCGGTCGGTGACCTCCGCTTCCGAAGACCAGTGCCGGCGAAGAAGTGGTCAAAACCTTTGGACACAATTAAATGGCCAAATGCTTGCTATCAATCAGACGTTGAGTTACCAATGATGCACAACAAAAATCGTAGCGAAGATTGTCTTTATCTCAATGTATTTTCACCCAAACCTAATAAGTCGGACACTGGACTCAAACCAGTGATGGTATGGATATATGGCGGGGCTTTCATTATAGGCTCGTCCAGTGATTCGAGATATAATCCAATCGTATTGTCCACGAGAGGGGATGTGATCTTTGTGTCTATTAATTATAGGTATTTCTATAGTAAAGCTATTAATTTGTCGTTTTGCTAATTTTTGGTTTATGCCAAAGATTGTCGTCTTTGGGAATGTTATACTCGGGAACAGATGACGCGCCCGGAAATACACTCTTCTGGGACCAGACATTAGCCCTTCAATGGGTTAAGACAAATATTGGACACTTTGGAGGAGATCCCAATAGAGTGACTATATATGGACAGAGCGCTGGCAGTATATCAGTGTCTGGTCTTATATTATCGCCAATTAGCCGAGATTTGTTTCAAAACGCTATAATGATGTCCGGATCGATGCTTCTCTATGGAGGCGTCGATACACCAGAAAATGCACTCAAATATTGGTTAAAACAATCGCAACAAATCGGGTGTTCAGATGAAAGTGACCACAAGTTTACACCAAAAATAATGGATTGCTTAAGAAAAGTGCCGATTGAAAAGTTGGCTGCAATTCCTATCAGTCCTTTCATACCATCGGCTGATAAGTTAGATGTCGTTCCCATGTTTGTCGTCGACGGAAAGATATTTCCCAAAACTCCGATTGAAATGTTAGAAACAGGAGATTATAAGAAGGGTTTGAATCTAATGATAGGCAACACTCAAGACGAGGGGTCTATACTATTGGCGGCGTTAGTCGATCCGATCACTTATAACATAATTAATCCCAAAAACTTTACATATAATGAAGCATTTGATGCATTGAAGACATTATCTTCCGGACTAAAAGTTAGTAAACCGCTTAACGGCGAAGACGTCTCCCGAATGTATTTCACGGGTCTCTCCACTCATACCCACAAAGACTTATTGATCCGAGAAATTGGTATTGCTTTCGGTGATTATGTTATCACTTGTCCGACCATTCAGTTCGCGAAAAATGCCTTTTTAAGTGATAAAACCGGAACTAAAGTCTTTCAATACTACTATAACAGCAAATTAGGAAAACCTAAGTTAATTTGTTTAGGGAAATGGATGGGTGTTTGTCATGGAAATGATTTAATACCAGCATTTGGTTTACCATTTCTTCAGCCAAATGAATACTTAGATCGCGAGAGAGACATATCCTCACAAATGATGGACTCTTTCATTACTTTTGCCAAAACTGGGTTTGTATTGAGTGCTCAATTGATAACAATAAAAATAATATTTAAATTCATTTTATAGTAACCCGGGTGTTATAGACGGCGCCCAATGGCCGCAATACTATTCAATGGGAGCCAATATAATAGCGCCGTATTATGAGTACACAAATGAACCGAAATCTGTCACTAATTTCAACATTGGATTAAAGATCGATGAATGCGATTATCTNTGTGTAATGATAACAGAATAGGAGATAATGAGTGCCAGACATGAGAGGAAAGTGTTTGCATTCACTCGATATAAACCCAAAGCAGTGAAACTCATATCTGACGCCAAATCCTTCAATTGAATCAATACTAATCTATCGATCATTTTATAATCATTTAAAGGCTTTAAACTTTTTATTCTTTCCAAACGATTATAAAATTTATTGAAAGATTTGGGAATTATATTACATATAAAGCATATGACAAGCATTAATATTGCGTTATATATCCCGAGATATAACATATTTAGATATTTAATATCCCGAAATAGATTTCTATACGTTATATTACTAGCACTGGAGACACATGTCATTATACAACAAAACAGAGATAGAAATAGAAATGAATTTATAAAACTATCAAATGATTTAATCGATTCCTTAATGTTATGGATATAATTATAAACAGATTCAAAATTAATATTAGTATTACGCTTAAAAACGACAGCAAATTGGTTGGAAATGAATAGACTTTTGTATACAATAAGTGACAAAAATGTTAACTGTGTATTGATTGCCAGACCAGTTAGTGGAATTAAACATAGTGTATAAACTAGGCCAAAGTTAAATTCAATTAAGAAACGTAAATTAATAACTACCGTGGTGGTTAAGCAATAAACAGTTATAACAATTTGAATGATAACTAATATAATACCGACTCTTCGCTCAAACTTGCGGTCAATACTCACAAACTTTTTAACATTCAATTCGTGAATTATTTGGGATCCGTTGAACGACAATACTATTGAAATAAATAGTATTTGAATGATATGTAAACCACTGGCGAGAATTAGTATAATGTACAACAGATTTGATCGATTCAATTGATTCGTTTGGTGACTGTCTGTGAGGTTTGATTGTTGTGTTGTATTAGTTGTTGTCATCGATTCAATTGTATCAATATTTCTGATGAAAAGCAGCAAAATTAATGAGAGAAACACATAATATGCGTGAAGTGTTAGGAATACAATATTCCATATAATAAGTAGTAATTTCTTGAATCCATGAATGTTATTATTAATACTCCAACCCATGTATGCGTTTCCAGTGATTCTGTGATAATTCAATAGTATCTCTAAACCCGACAATTGTTTCGCCATTTTTAACTAATGTTAAATAAAAAATGTTTTACAACTGAAGTCAAGTAATATCAACAAAAACTGATAATCAAATGCTGAAACATTAATGCATTATTTATTCAAATAGAAAAGGGCGTGAATATGACTCTAATTAACATATCATTTGGTCATTTATGAATATTTTAATATTAAAAATATTAATTATTAATGTAATTACATTTTTACTGCATTAAGCAAATGTTATTGCAATATTGCTTATATAATAATAGTTTGGAAATATACTGTATTTAACATAATAGTTAGTAAATATATGAATGCATTATGTAATTAAATTTTGTTTTGTTCTCCAGCGTTATATTCATCAATTAAGTCATGCACTCATCTCTCTTTCTCTCAACTAAACTAATTGTGAAAAGGATGTGATCGACAAAGAATGCAACGGAAAAACAATTAAAAACACATTTAAAAATTATATTATTATCACTTCTTTTATTATGAATTTTATTTATTTCAATTAATATTTATGTTTAAATCTAGTTTTAAATAATTGTTTGAATTATAAATATTTTAAACTTTTTAAAGATTTTATTGACAATTCAAACAATTATTTAAAACCTTAAGTTTTTATTTCAATCTATTTCAATACATGATTAAAATATTATAATAAATAGATTTTTGCTTTAAAAATTTAATGCAAACATTATAAAAATAATCATAAGTTATATTTAGTGGTTGTATTGATTCCACAGATAATCGCATTCATCGATCTTTAATCCAATGTTGAAATTAGTGACAGATTTCGGTTCATTTGTGTACTCATAATACGGCGCTATTATATTGGCTCCCATTGAATAGTATTGCGGCCATTGGGCGCCGTCTATAACACCAGGGTATCTGCAATATGAAATTAAATGTTATAGTACATACATTTTTATTACTTTTTATTTTTGATAAAACAAACCTATTTTTGGCAAAACTAATAAAAGAGTCCATCATTTGTGAGGATATGTCTCTCTCGCGATCTATATATTCATTTGGCTGAAGGAATGGCAAACCAAATGCTGGCATAATATCACTTGCATGACAGACACCCATCCATTTACCACAAAATAACTTTGGTTTTCCTATTTTACTGTTATAATAGTATTGATAGACTTTAGTTCCGGTTTTATCACTTGAAATGACATTCTTTGCAAACTGAATGGTCGGACAAGTGATAACATAATCTCCAAAAGCGATACCAATTTCTCGGATCAATAAGTCTTTGTTGGTATGAGTGGAGAGACCCGTGAAATACATTCGGGAGACGTCTTCGCCGTTAAGCGGTTTACTAACTTTTAGTCCGGAAGATAATGTCTTCAATGCATCAAATGCTTCATTATATGTAAAGTTTTTG